TGCAACAGTTTGAAGAAAGCATTTATGATTTTGGGGGGGCAGATGTTAAAAGTTGCGCCCATAAACAGCCGTTCTTCATACAAAAGGCAGTTGATAACAAGTTACAAGAACAAAAACAGGTTCGAGTCAAGCATGGCTTGATTTCGAATGATGTGTGTTTTAATTCGTAATTAGATTTAGTTTGTTAGGCAGGTTTTTTGTTGTGATAACGCATGGTTGTGCATGAGTAAATAATGATGCACGGTTGTTTTTGTATTTAGTTTATTCCGACATAACTAGAAGTAGCATGTTGCACCTTTTTGTTTCTTATTTTTTGTTTGTTATATTTTTTAAAAGTTGTAGGGTTTCAATTATGTGATTTTTAGGCGGGTTCGTCCCCGCAACAGTCTCTCTACGGTGACCTTCTCTTGGAGAAATCGAGATTCACAAATCAGTCCAATTTTAATCACAAAGTATTAGAAGAAAGACTCCGCCAACAACAGAAAGAATCTGAGGAAGATTCGCGATGGTTGGCCGAATCCGAGACTAATCTTGTAATTCCCCAAATGGAATTTTAATTATGACCTTAATGTCTCTTTAATTGTAGAAGAAACGCTTGAGTATGGCGGTACCATCAACCGAGAATGAGACTATCCAAAGCAATTCTCAGTCGTTAAATTCACTCCCGACTAGTCCAAATTATACAAGTGCTGCAACTCAACAATTATCTAGTAGTTTAGCCAATATGTCTTTTAGTGGAAATGGCCTACAGAGCAGTACAGGTTCACAGTGTAGTAGTAAAAGTCATTCGCCTTCTGGGTCCATTACTATGACTATCACTGGAAAAAGTGAGCGGAGCCAGACTCCAAACAGCGGTTCAGAAAACGGGGATGCTGGGAAACCAAAAGTAAGGAACTTTCAGAACCATCTCATGTTTGTAAAATGCAATAACTTTTAATAGTAATTTGTTTGCGATATTTTAAAATTAAAATAAAAATGTGTGTGATATTTAAACGTATGTATTGTTTCGCTAGCGTCAAATATCAAGACTCATGTTATTACAGACGGCTGCTCCTCCGCCCACCGCCGATTTGGATCGCACCAACGACAAGGTGTACGACTCCACGACTCAAGTTGTCAAAGCCGTTATGGCCCTTTCGCAAGGAGTGCAGCAATCTCACGCCGATCAGTACCTCGACCTTGTGAGGCGAGTAGGTTTAGAACTGCGCGGTTTGTTGGCTAGCGTCGACGAGATAGTCAATTTTTTCCCGACGTCAGCGCAGCGCGAAGTAGAAATGGCTCACAAAGTGCTCTCTAAAGATATGACCGAGTTGGTGAATGCCATGAAACTGGCACAGCATTACAGCCAGACGACGTTAGATAACGAATATAGAAAGTAAACATTGCGGTGGCTTTGTGGGAGAGATACTCATGTTTTGTTTCAGGGGGATGTTGGGGGCCGCCCACGTTCTAGCGATGGATTCTAAGAATTTGTTAGACGTTGTGGACGCGATGCGAATACGATATCCGCAATTCAACAAGCATTTGTTCAAAGTGGGCGATTTGGAAACGGAATCGATCGAAGTTGACACTACGGAAAAACAGGAATCGCCGAACACGAGTGAAGCACCATCTACATATCCTAATTTACCGAGTTCTCCCGTAGCTGTAACATGTGCCGTCGTACCGGTTTATACTAATTATGTCCAGTCAGCAGCCACGTCTTCTAATTTAAGTACAAACCAAGTTGACAGTTAGTTTGATTAGAAATTAAGGTAGCTTGCCAGGTTTTCATAAGCATAAAATTGTTAGTCATTGATTGTGATTGGTGTTTTTATTTTTTTGTGTAATTTTTGGAACAATTTTGGGCTCAAACTAGGTTAATCGAGGTATGCATTGTGGCTCAAACGAGATATATTTTTTATAAAAATTCATATTCAAAATATGATTTCTGCGTTTTCCTGGTGTGATAAGAGGAGAGTTGTTTATGAAAATCTCGCTTAGGTTTATTAAATAAACATAAACAACAATAGTGTGGCTCGTTTATATTCACGATGCATTTTAAAAGCCTTTAGGGGGCTTTCATTGCACACAGTATTACATAATCATGCATTACAATTGATGCTTTCAAAGTGCGTCGAAATATTAAAACAGTACCCCTCCCTCCGTTTAAATTAATTTGTAAATTAGTATTTTTTTTAAAGACTGCATAGTTTATCTAATTTAATTGTAAGCTTAATAGTGGCATTTTTATGAATTTATATAAACAAAGTTTTATAATTAATTGTAATAAATTATATACTAGATATTAAAATTCTTTAAAACGATATAAAAGAGATGTCATATTGTATCATTGGAACCGTATGTGTAAAAAATGAATTCCATTTAATGTGGATATGGTAAACGATTCTTTGTTTATTATTTTGTTGTATTATTTGTATATTTGTATTGTTTTGTTTTTCAGCTTTTCAATAAAGTTATCAGAATTTCAAGATCTTGTGTCAATGGCCCAACACCACCGTGACAATTTGTTTAGAATACTTCATCAGTTTGAGGTAATTCATTAATTAATATTAGGTATTAATATTTTTGTAGTGGGACTTTGCAATTTTTAAGTAATGTTTCACTTTTTTATTTTTTAAGCTATTGTTTGATAAATGGTGGAAATATTTACTGCACAATAAAGTACTGAAATGTACACAGTTGATGTCTTATTTTTTAAATAGTTGTTTTCACTACACAGTTTATTTTAACAAAAATATCACTTATCTTGGGTTTATACTATTTACTTCAAGTCTTCACCTGTGCCATTTCTCTCTCCACAGAAGTAATGTTACAACTACGTTTTCTGAGGTCATAAACAATTGATTTCTGCGTAAAAGGAGAATCCGTGTTACAACTGGATCCTACTGGCAAAATTAGAGCCAAAAACTACTATTTCAGACAAAGATTTAAAAAAACAATTAAAATGAACAGAAGTGACGATAGAATAGTGATAGAAATGACAGGAGGTAGTGTTGCTGGGTTAGGTAGCTTAACTTTTGAACAATAAATTTTAAACTTATAGTCGCTATCGTGCATGGTTGAAACTTGGTGATGAACATTTTTATAATAAATAACACTACAGTGTAGTTTACAAATAATTTATTTCATATACCTTTATTCAAATTATTTTTATGTTTATTTACTTTTAATTAAACAAAAATAATAGTTAATTATTTTATGACTTCACAGTTTTTTGTTAGGAACGATAATTTTCGTGCTTTCTCTACAAATGCCTCTTATTTAAAATTTAAGTTGTTGAATTATTGCAAAATTATCACCAGATAGGTCTGAATGGGTCCTAAAATAAATTCTATTTGGACTTTTCTAAAGGTTTTTGGGATGAAAATATGTTAGGAGATTACTGTTACAATGTTATAAAGAAAACTGGTCCAACAAAAGTATAAATAACAAAGTAAAATAACTCATGTTTAATCAGTTGTTTGGCGGTTTTTGTGTTTTGTCAATTACCTACATATTTCTTAAACGAGACGGTGAATTTTTTTATTTTATTTTTTGAACTCGGTGCCTCAAAATCTATAAGAAATTATAACTTTCAGCTATGGTATAAAAATAGTGTAAACTAGTGATAATGAGCAGTATAACAGCTGTTAATTTTGAAATACTAAGTCCGAAGTCAATTGATTTTAAGGTTTAAAACAAAAAATTCCGTAACTGCCTAGTACAAATGTTGATTAATTTACTTAATAAACCACTTTTGTTGCCATTGCATAGGAGCTGACTGAACTGTCTTGTAAACAGAATGATTCTGTATTAATTTATTGATCCATATAATGTTTCACGAGTATAATAATTAATTAACTAATACACTGTAAACATTTAAATCTTTTAATCACATTAAAGTAAATTCTATTATGTTGATAATGAAACAACTAATGGTTCGACTTTAATGGTATAAGTATAATGGATAATAATAGACGAAATGAATAAAAAGTTTTAATGATTAATAACCTTTTTTGTTTAATTTATATTAAAGCTTGTTCTATTGTACATAAATTACTTTTTATGTAGGTACCTACGTACTTTTCAACTTTTTCAAATAAAGGATCTCTAGCTGGAATACCTGACGCATGCAAAACTCGAGATTAAACCTAAACAAGTTGCATAATGAGACCATTAGGCGTGATTAGACGTACTATTGCAACATTTAACTTTCAGAATAGTGCTGCTGCGAAGCAATAATAATTTTTTAGTTATTAATTCTTTTTAGTAATTAATTTATTAAAAAATACAAAATTTCGATATTTGAAGTGATACAGATAGATAATTCTGTGAAAACCCAAATTTCAAATTTGAGCCAAACGTGAATTGTAGTTAGAATAGGACCGGCGGACGTTAAATCGTCTCGCCGGCAAATTGCTTCAAAGGCGTAATGGCCTGCGACAAATTGGCAGTCCTGAATGACTCTATTCTCTTACCTATAACTACACACTAAAGCTACTCCTTGCTGAAATGACTGATACATATTCCTTATCATAAGTTTCCTTGCATTTAAACACAATGTTTAATAGGGGAAATAATTAGGATCACATATTATTGAGTTATTGATATTGGTATTGTCAGAATTTATGATTATTAAAGACCATATTGACATATTGTACTTTAAGAAAACGGATAATAACAAAAACTGAGTTTGTGAAAGCATTATTAAAGTTTGCCGACATCTGATAAAGAAAATTTTAACCAAAGCGGTAGTTTTATATCTAATAAACTGAACTACGAGTATGTTATAATCACTGATTTTTTGGATTCCAAATTAGAAAGTTTTTTAAGTAGGTTAGACGAAACTACGAGAATATTACGCCATAACTAAAATAATAAATGAATAAAAACGTTGAAAAGGTAAATTGAGATTATGGATGATTGAGATAAATGTCAATTAAGTTTACAATATACATACCACGAACTTCCTCCTCTGCAACCTACACTTTTCTCACATTCAGTAAAAATGTCTCGTTTGTGTATTGTCCTACTCTGTTATGTTTTCATGCCGTATGAAGGTGACAAGATTCATTTGCAATTATCGCCAATTATATTGTTGTGGTGACAGGTCGACAAGGGGTTGGGGGTTCTGACCAAGATTGGGGTTATATAACGGTGCGTCCAAATGCCCATATGTTTTGGTGGTTGTATTACACCACGTATAATAATGTTTCCAGTTACACTGACAGACCATTAATCATTTGGCTGCAAGGTGAGCCCTTAAAGTGCTACAATTAGCAAGCTATTAAACATAGGTTTTCCTAGGCGGTCCTGGAATGCCAGCAAGTGGTTTTGGGAATTTTCTTGAAATAGGACCTCTTGACTCGAATTTTAATTCCCGTAAAGGGTCATTTATCGAAAATTTTAACGTTTTATTTATTGATAATCCAGTAGGAGTGGGGTTTAGTTACATTTCCGATAATGAGACAAAAATGGTCACTAATGGAGACGAAACTGCTGAAGATTTGTACAATTTCTTGAAAATATTTCTTAAGGAAACGCATCCCGAATTTAGAAAAGTGCCTATTTACGTTTTTGGAGAATCCTACGGCGGAAAAATGGCAACGGAATTTGTGTACAAACTGACACAGGTTTATCATTCTAATTTGAATTTCTATTCATTTATTAATTTATTAATAGAAGGAAAAAACTGAAAATTTGACTTTGTGTAATTTAAAAGCACTTGCGTTGGGAGACGCTTTCATATCTCCTATTAGTTACATAAATAATTACGCCCCTATGGCTTTTTATTTGGTAAGTAATTTTTAATAGTCATGAAATGTTAACTAAGGTAATCCGATAAAGTTTTGTAATTTATTTGATATTCTTTATAATTGAATTTTGTGCTTCAAAAGGGATTAGTCAATAAGCGGGTTTCCACACGAATTGATGAATTGACTAAACAAATTCAAGTTTTAATTAACAAAAAAGAATACGTGAAGGCATCGGATGTTGATGACAACATCATGATCGAGTTGGATCGCATTCTGAATGTGGATTTTTATAATATTGTGCGAAAAATTAACTCGACTTGGATGACCGGTTAGTCAAATTTTATTCATTTATTGTGTGCATGTTTAGAATATTTTTTTCGTTTAAGACTTTCAGGAAATTATGAACATGTTGGAATATGTCATGAATAGTAAAGTCAAAAATAAACTAAATATTACAGAAGACGTTTATTGGGAGTACAATTCAGACATCTACAACTCCTTGAAAGGAGATATACTGAAAAGCGTCACAGATAAAAGTGAGATAGAAAATATTCAGAATATTTATTTTACTTAATTTTGTTTGCAGTTGAAACGATTCTTAATACAACTGACATAAAAGTTCTTGTTTATAATGGAATGCTTGATTTTATAGTAAATACCGCAGGTACATTATTTTTGTATTTTTTTTCTGGTGATGTTTGCGGATGTGATTGAGGTGTTACTGTTTGATGTGAAAAACTTGTTAATTTATCTCATTTACATTTATTTCTTTTTGTTAACTCTAACTTTTGTTTTGTTTATTTTTTTATTGGGTATTCCGAAGTTGCATTGTACTTTTTAATTTTTGCTATAATGGAAATTATTATTTTATAATTTTAATTAATCGATCTGTGGGAGTTTTAAGTTTAAAAGTAAAACAGCCTGAGGCTTTTTCGAAAAACTTTATCAGGTAATAATTAAATCTGAAAATTCTAAAAAATTACAGCCTTGTCAAGAATTTAATTACCGACGCTATCAGGCAACTAATTATGTTATTAAATTTAGGAACAGTGACTTGGTTAGACAATTTAATGTGGACAGGGAAAGAAAAGTGGTCAACTCAGAATGAGACTGTGTTTGAAATGTATGATATAATTGAGGGATATTCAAAAAAAGTTGATAATTTAGTGTTTTATGTTATTTTCAGAGCTGGACATAGTGTGAGTAAAATATTTTTTTGTTACTTTTGTAACATTTGTTGTGCTTTTAGGTACCTGCAGATAATTTACCTGTATTGAATGAAATTTTGCGCAGAGAGATATTGGTTGAGTTGTAAATGATTATTCAATACGCCGCCTTAGGCAAAGTAGGTAAAACGTTTCAACGATGCTTAGAATAGACGCTCCAATGAACAGTCCTGCAGTTCCTCCAATTGATACTAAAGTTCTTGTAAATTATGTTGTACGAAGAGGAATCCTGACTTACCTACTAAGTCCATCGTAGTTCTTACAACAATACGTTTAAAACGTGATGTCGGTAATGACTGCAAGTTAATAAAAATCTCACCATGGGAACTTTTAACTCTGGAAAGTAGCAATAAAGAGCAAGATTTTATAGGAGTATTTTCTACTTACTCTTTTGTATCTGCCACAACTTTATATTCGGGCTCAATGCAAGACGGCAGGCAATCACAAACTAATCCCGGCTTGTCAAATCCTTTGGCATGAAGTCTATTTACTGTCTCTAAAATGTGAAATGTTTGAACATTTACCTTCATAATTTGCTTGCTCGTTACCAAAGTTGTCAGTTAAACACTTCAAACCCTCGATGTCACAGTATTTTTTCTTGTCTGCAAAGTTCGAGATTAATTGAAGATATTTTGATGCAGATACTGACTTAAAACAGGCATCAGATGATGAGTGCAGTTGCATAAATCGATATGGGCGTCAGCATGGCATTGTACAACACAAGTCGAATAACTGTAAAACTCGTGAACAATTAAATCGTTCGGTTTTTCTTCAGGAAATCTGCATCTGCGTTTTTCGACTGGTAAAAGCCTCACGTTTTCGTCATTTTCTATCTCTATTATCTAAGAATTGTCTGTAAAAATGTAACTGTATTTTAATCATGACCTACATTTATAGAAATATTGTAAGTTTCCCCTAGCATGACGTCTTTTCGTTGGTCGGGATCCGAATTTATAAAAGGAACATCCTCTCGAGCGTGGAAATATAACTGCACTCACAAAAAACTTTAAAGGCATCTTAAATAATTTTTCAAATACCAACCCTAACATCTTCTATAGTTTGTATAAACAGTGCTCCCGGACCCGTTTTTCTGTTCGAAAAGAAATGAAAATCTGAAGCATGTTGAGACGGCTTTCTGAAAATAATTAATTAATCAAACTGATTTATTTCAATCTTCAGTTGCACTTTGTGTGGAGAGAATTGAATGAATAGCATATTCCATATTCAGTTTCCAGCGGCAGAAATTTCTCACAGCAGTCAAAAGGGGTTTCATTCCATTTACATTTTGATAAAAGCTGTGAACACTTCTTTCGGAACTAAAAATAATCACTAGAGTAATTCAACACAAGTTGGAGTTTCTACTTTTTCAACAATATCAGCAAAGTCCAATTTCTCACAAATGCTACATGGTGTGTGACAAGAATAACAGCTGCCGGTAAAAAATATTAAATCTGCAATAAACTGCTGGACGGCTTCGGCCTCTTCTTTATCACTGTAATCGATTTTATTTTGATTATTAGTTGGAGTATTTGCTTACCCGTTCCAGGCCACTTCAGAACTGCTAATTTCGCAAAGTGTGACAGCTGGAAAAGAAGTGTTCCAGTTCAAGTAAGCGGTTTCTGTGACGAAACTGATGGCGTTCTCAGTGTATGATTTATACGAAGCTTTGAAGACTAATATCATACCATAAAAGCTCAAAATAAAAATTGCTGTCCAGGTCAATCTATTTTAAGTTACGTATTTATTTGGTCAGCGTTACAATGGCTGTGATACCTTATTATGGTAGGCCGCTTTTCGTCGGCTACATATTTCAATCCGTGTAGAGTTGTGTTTTTTCCGTAATATTTTAATCTGGAAAATATCATACTCACAGGGTTGCGACTTGACGAGAATTATTCAATACCTGAACTGGATAACATCAACGCAAGCAACGATTTATTCAAATAGTATCTAAAATTAGATAGGCATCTAATGTAATTCTACCTGATCTGACTTCATTGTTGTAATAGAGTAGATAATTTCAAATATTATGGGTCCGCATTTTATCGATTTCCATTACGAGCATTAAATTTCTAACATTACTACTGTAAAGTAATTTTATGTCATAAATACGTAATTTTGGTAATACTAAAACTGTTCAATATACCAAAAAACAGTAAAATTAGAAACAAATAAAACTAGTAATACATTTTTCTGAATCCGCTGTATTAGAGGTTCGACAAAAAAACGCAAGTAGGGAATGCAGACTTGTAATTTTGTCCAAATGTTTATTTTATGTTGTGGAGATTAAATAATAAGAACCGAAAAAAATATGTTTTATGTAACATCCGAACCACCGCTTTATGTAATATAATATAATAATTATTTATAGTTTATTGTTCCACAGAAATATGTTTTGTTAGTATACAGCCATAGACTTGGCGCAATAAAAAACTACGAACACAATAATGTATAAAGGGTTAATCGTAAACATAGAAACAGAATAAATTTTTAACGCTAAAATTTGTTGCTTTAACATTAATTAATTCGCTTCTTGTTTGGCTTTCGATTGTTTGTTTTTTTTTTTTGGTATTTTAAATATCTGCAGCGAGTATTATTTCATTTGTTATCATATTGTTTAATTTTCAAGAGTCGTCATGGTAAAGAACCACGTTGAAATAGTGTCTTTAAAATAACAAGTTGAATTAAAATGCATCTGCTGAAGTCTCAGTAGCATTAATCTCGACTGACATCTGAAATAAATTTAAGGTTTCATTTCGTTACAGTGTCAGTGTGCTCAATAACTGGGAAAGTTTGATTAGTTACTTGCAATGTTAATGAATATTTTTGCTCAAGCAGACTTAATAAATTGAAATTCAGAGATTGTTTACGCGTCAAACTTTGAATAGAAGTCCTAATCACGTCTCAATAAAACGTATATAGTGAATATACTTCCACTAACTTCCTCAGTAATTCGTCGATGATTAAACTTTCTTAACTGGATAGTTATCGTGCTGACGGCAGTTTCCTCGCAGATCAACACGTGTTGTGATTTTTGCGCGTCTTTGAATCGCAATAATAAAATTCAAAGTTAAGTGTTAAAGTTGGTCTTTGTTGCAGACAAATGAGATAATTTAAGACACTTTGTTGTAGACAAAAGCGTCAAAATTTTGCAGCACATCCGTATAACAGTGCAGCTCCGGCTCATATTTTAACTGTAACGCCTTCCTTTCGGCGATTCCACCCCCGAGAATATAACAAAACACTCGCTCTCGCACACACAAGATACGACCGATTTAAAAGCAAATATCTTATGAGAAGATAGAAGTGGCAGCTCGACAACAATTTAGCAAGACACCCTTTTTCGCAATAATCGGTCGGAAATTACCAGCACATTTCTGCAGGCAATTTTCGAGTGTTTGTTTCGAAACTGTTGCGGTTTCGCTTAAAGTCTGCACTTGCTGGATGGATTCGAAAGAAATTGCGGACGTGTCAAATGCACCGCGCTGTGGTGACACTTACCCAAAACCAATGAAAAACCATTTAAAGTTTATAATACTAAGGAAATACTTCAAAGTTTGCTTCATATGTTGGATACAGATGCGGTCTATTGTGTACTACGCTGTTCGAAAAAACACCGTCTTTTATACCACGCAACATCGACGCTTGAATTCAATGCTTTCTTTAAGGTTTAATAAAGAATAGAATTCTATGAATTTGCCTGTTTTTCGTTCAACACAATACGCATTCGACATGGTTTGACAAACCTAAACATTTATTTTCTGGGTATATTTGAGTTTGTGGAAAAATTGATTTATCCAAATACTAAAAACAATGGAATATTGGAAATGTGGGAATCTATCAAATTTGGGCTTTTTCTGATTTCCGGAAAAAAAGTTTTTGTTACTTGTATTATAATATAATAATAATAAGATGCACTAATAAGTAGACAAACTTAGCTTGTACACAAAAAATGTCAGGAATCTCTAATAACGTTGCAACTTGCATATGGAAGCTTAAAGATAATAGAACGCGAGAGAACATTGGAAGAGCTTGTGAGAAACTGGAGAAGTTTATAATTAAATTATCCAATTATACGCAATGTTAAATTCCATTTGTATGTGTACATAAAGATTTGATGATATACGCCTGTTTGTCAAATAACTTTAAAATGAAAAAAAAAATTTCGTTAACTATGTAGCATATTGAGTGCATATTAAGTGGGAAGCGGCTTTTAATGTCTAATTAGTACCTTAATGTATTTTTTCTATAATACTAGTGATATTAAATTATAAATAAGAACTGATATGTTATTAAACGGGTTTTTCTTGATAAAACTTTGTAATAATTTTCATTTAGTATAAGTACTTACAAAGTTTTTATTAAGTTGACAAATTATTGGGCATTAAAACACTCATGTAGTCATCTTGTAGTATAAGAAAATTGTTGTGTAAGATTAATTAGGGTTTAAGGGAAAGGGTTTATTGTTTCTCTAGATTGATTGTCAACTAGGTCGTATAGTTAACAAGAGACTATATTATTACACCAAAGTTTAAGATACAGACAAGTTACAACAAAGTGCTATGACTAGTTTCCAAGTTTGTTAACAGACTAGAAATATGAATTAAACTTTAACAAACCGACTAAGAAAATGTTGCACAAATACGTTTATTATTTGGTGAGTAGAAGCAATGAATGACTTGTTAATAACCGTTAGGTAAAACCATGATTTCAAAGGACCACATCACAACCTAAAGATTTATGGATGAATGATTATGAAAAGATTTGCTTTATGCAGATTGGAAGGATCCCTTGAAAGTGATTTAATGCTTTCTACAGTAGTATAGCAACTTTCTTAAAATCATTGCTTACAAGACAGAAAAAGCGTTTTATTGCAGTATCTACAAGGAAGTGTTAACTAAATAGTTTCCTGCAAAGGCTTGCTCATGCAATCAAAAGCAAATATTTAAGGGCGCTGTTTGACAAATAAATGCAAATACCTATGTATCGTATTATGTCCATCTAAAACTAAATTACAATCCCATTGTGTTTATCACAATTTGTTTAAAAATATTTTTGTTATCGAACGCACAATTATGTATATTGACGTCGCAGCAGCGACATGAATTATGGTTTTATTATTTTATTTGAAGTAACCCTTTTGCGATTTGGAGTAGAGTAGTAAGGACTCTCAAGTTTATTTAGGGTAGTGCGATTATTTAGACAAACTTTGTTGATTTGAAAATCAATGGTTTTACACACCAATTGGATCGCTGATTAACAAACAAACATATTGTAAGTTTTGGGATTGATTTTGTACCACATTTCACGCCATTTATTGACGTTAAAATGTCGTGATGTTTCAATTATAATGTAATTTATGCTAAGAAGAAGTTTTGATGTTGTCTTTATTATTTGGTAGGGTACCTTTTCTGACACCTAAACAAATATTGTAATTACTGCTCTCAAGGCTTCTTTCTCGTTTCTGGAAAGTTTATAAAGTTGAAGGTTTGTAGTGGCATCAAAATGACTTCTGTCACGTCTAAGTTAAGCAGAATAAGATAATTTTACCAAAGTGACTGTATGTTATGTGGGTACAGAATTGCAGTTGTTGGAGTCATCTTACATTAAGAATTTCAAATATCAAATTACAGTTTATGGTAGCAGCTGTTTGAAAAAATCGACATTAAGGAAATATTCTTAATACTGCTTAAAATTCTTCCATATAATTGATCATTTTAAAGTTCTTGCGTTTTATTTAAATACATGAATTTTATTAATTTATATTTGCACTTAACATAATATAGTTTCATCATACGTGCAAGTTGCAAGTTTGTTCGAAACTTTTGCATGCTAGAAGCTTGACCCTCCTTGTTTACGCTGGAAAGGTTAACTAGTGGGTCGTTGAAACATTTTCCTGGGGTTATGTATGGATTTAGAAAGTTTGTTTTTTAATTTATCAAAATAGTTGCTTACAAAATTTTAAGTATGTAATTGAAAAAAAAGCCAATTGTATGTTTCACAAAAAACACATTTTTTCAGCTTTGTTCTTAATAAAATGCTTGTAAGTTTATTATATTTTTATTTTATTTTTTATTTTTGATTTAATACATTGGATATTAAGTGATTAATCAATTTTAATCAATCAAATTAAATTACTTGATACATTTTCCACTAGTAAAAATTCGGTGTAATTTTTTCAGTCACTTTTGTTTCATTTGAAACAAATTTCAGTCCAGCGTAGCGCTTGTTTCTTTTTTGGTTTATTTGCTTCAGTATTTCGCAACTAGACACAATTTCTATTTTATTAAATTTTTGCCATTATACTTCGCTCCTGCTTGCCTATGCGTAAACCCAATAAGACCCGATGTATATTCGAAATATCTCCTCTTCACACGAAACATCCCCTGCTCTCTTTTTTGGGCAATAAAATCCACGTGGTGCCACTTCATCAAACATCGAACACAAAAATGCATCCGCACTGAGCCCTCCCGGAGTCTCCGGAAACACGTGATGCTGCGTGGACCGCCAATGATTTGGTCCAGTACCAAATTTCCCCGTTAGACAGCGCTGCTGCGTCCGGAAAATCTGTGCTGTATCTCTTCGCAACTTCAGTTTTCGGCAAGTAACGATAAACGCTGGCGCGCTCTCAATTTTCTCACACACGCCGGAGTCGACGTGAATGAGACCAATTTTCGATTGTAATTTGAGAAAATTTCACTAAACGGAAAATGGAGAGGACCGGTTAAGTGATGGTAAATAGTCCTTCAAACGGGTAAAAATACTCTCCGCTGAAAGTTTCGTAAGGGGGCGTCCTAATTTATTTTAACCAGCCGCAAATTCGGCCGAAATTTTCGCATAATTGGAAATAAGTTGATTGATCGCTTGTCACTAACATCGCTGTGCCAATAATAGATTTTTTAATATTCATAATACGATTGATTGCTGAATATGGCACGCGGTTTCTCATAATAATTTACGTTTCAATTTCTGAATAAAAAATTTCTTGATTCGTCTAATGTAATGTAATTAAATGTTTATTGTAAACGGGTTTGGACGGTTGAAACAATCCTAATATAATTAAACTCAAAACCCGTAATCATTGGAATTATTAATTTCATTCCATCGATTGGAATAAAATATTTGTGCCGCGAGGACGCTTTAATGTGAAGTGTTTTTTTTTACCTTTGCTAAATAAACTTCAAAATAGTGTCTCGCTCAGTGACTTAATAAACTTTCTTGATACCTAAAGAACTTTCATGATGGCATATTTCATAACAAGGAGTATCCTGCTCTTTGTTACATTGTTTGCTGATATCAGTGTTTTCGGTAAGTAATTTTTATTAACTTCGGTACTATTTATTTTCTAAAAACGTGTACAGATACGGGCATAATAATTCACCATGTTAATACGTGCTTGGAGGAGATAATAGTTGGCATTAATCAAAACCGCGCAGTTTCGCCAGAATGTCCATTTTGTTCTCCAGCGAAATTTGAGATTAGAGTTAGGTGCGCCATAGAGACTTGTCCAAGCTTAATTAAATGTTAACATAGCTAAATTAGGAGCGCTTAGAGACAAGCTTCAAATGTTCGATTATAAAAGGTAAGTATAAAAATGTATTCATTTAATTTGAAAGACATTCAGTTTGCTTTTTAGCCAGGGGCTGGTAAAAAACGCGTAGAACTGAAAAGGGTCTCTTGAATGTAAATTATGTCGTATCGAATGGTTGGCATCAAAAATTGCTTTGAATAAAAATATTTTAAATAGAAGTTAAAACTCTAAGCAAAAAAATAAGAAAAAATATTTCGTTTGAGTTCAAAGGAAAAGACGATTGAGGATAATAAAAATGTTTCAAATGTATGGAAAAGTTGATTTTACAATTATTGATTTTATTGAGTATTATTTCCAATTATGCTGACTTTGCTGTGATCTTTGATGTTTGATATTAAAACGTTTTTTTCCAGTTCATTGTAATTTAGGAAATGATTTTGATTGAAAAAATCGTTAAATTTTGTAACTCCACAACTCCATATCTATTATCATGAACATATAACAACATGGAAACAGGCCCTGGGTTCTCATATAATTCCAAGCTTCATAAATTTCTCCCATAAACAGAGGGAGTAATAATAGGCTATGCCTGGACATAGTTGTAAAAGATTTACGAACATTTTTAATACTCCAGACGTACTTTACATTCAAATAAAACTAACATTTTATGGAAACGTTGCATTTTTTATTATATGTGCAAAGTATATTGAATTGTGTTTGCATAAAATCAACTCAAAATCGTCGTTGTCTAAAACACTCTTGACACCTTATTTTTTATTTCATTACTAAGAGCAATCGTCAATCCCTGACATTATTGAAAACACAACCTAAATTTTTTATGTTTGGTACAATAAAATTTCGATGAAAAAGGTGCCCGTAAGTATAAAAAATAGTGAATAATCGAGCCATAATAAAGCAAAAAATAAAATTCAAATCCAAATAACCGAGAGATTTTTATATGAAATAAATCTGACTGTTGTGGTAAAACTCTAGGCAGAGATGAGACACAGATGCTTTGTAAAAAGTCAAGCTGTGGCGTTAAACAGGTACCCCCGAGGAAGAAAAACTCTTTGGGAAAACAAGCTGGGAAAACATTTTTTATAAAAAAAATCAAGCAAAGAAAACACGCTCGAGGTAAAATTATTGAAAATATCTACCGAAATAAAATTTGTCTGAAGCAGGCCTGAGCTTGTTATTAATTAAATAATTAGTCTAGAAGTTTATTTATTAGATTACGCTATCGATTAAGCTTACTCTTGTCTTCTTTGTGTCGCTAATTAAACGTTGAGGGCCTAATTATAATGATCAGATAGTAGGTACGGAGGGTTTATTTGGCAATTACGCCGTTGATGAAATTGTTGTGATGAAGTAAAAAAAGTGTTGATGGTTCATGAAGAAGAAGACATTTTGAGAATGTGCCTGCGAGAATTTTATTTACATAACATTGAGTGGAAAAACCGAATATTCGAATTTCTCCTGAGAACGCGAATATCTCTTGCAAACTGAAAAAAGTTTCAGTGTAAATTATTCAAACAGTTAAAATCGCGGAATTTATATCAACCACGTCTTTAAATTCTTCAATAATTCATAAGAATTTCTCGTAAACAGCTAAAGGAAGTTATTGTTATTTGTTTGGCAAAAATTATAATAAATTTTTGATCGTTCGATGCCCATGCGAGCGTTTTTATTTTTGCAAATTTTGGTGTTGAAATGCGCATCTTTCAACTTCTAATGAAACAATGTTTTTATATCAAGTGGACCCCAGCTGAGGAAAACAAGCGGTCGGTTTAATAACCAACTCGAAATTGCTTGTGGTCCTCTTTTTGTTTGTCTTTATTACTACACTAAACGGTAGGTTTTCAAACAAATTCTTCGAAATCAGTTCAAATTACCACCCGACTCTATCTCAAAATCTGACCTCAAAGTATATATTCCAGAGACGTGTGAGTGGAGGTTAAGGTCGGTGTTCGATCTAAAATAAAAAATATCACAGACTTAAAATTATGTTTTGCACCCTGAAAACTCTTTCTCTCAAAAATGCTGCAATTTGTCATTGTAATAACCAAATAAATCAAATAACGATCCTCAATCTTCCGTCGTTTGATCCACCGAATTCAATATCAGCGCATTTATAATAAGAATGATGAAACTGAGTATAAGAACGTAATGAAGTAGAAGGATGTGATTGATTTTTCAACAAATTTTTAGGTATTTTTATCCAAAATCAGGTGCAAAGCAATTTGAGTTTTTTGGTAAACATTCTGGCTAAATAAACAATTCTATGAAATATTGTGTGCCTGAAATGAGAGAAATTTTGCATTTATTTACAGTCAATATAGTGTAATTGAACAAATAAATAAATTACAGTCGAATTAATGTGCCATGTTTTGAATAAAAGTGTAAATAATGAAATATGCAGTATTCGACTTCATGTCAGGGTTGTGGTTATTTTGATACATTGCCATTTAGAGTGTAACAACTACAGTTTATATAACAACTTTATAAACTGATTTGTTGAGGGTTTTATTTTTGCAATTATTATTGTTCTCTCCGAATTAACAAACCAAAATAGATTTTTTGTAACTGTGTATTTACTAAATAATTTCTTTCGTACTTTAAACATAAATTACCAGTAAACAAATTGCTGAAAATGTATTACTACATTAATTAATTATTATTGCAGTTGTAATCAAAATAAAGTTATTTGATGAATAAATTTTTATCAATTTGTCAAAAATACAAAACGTCGTGCTAGACTGGATAATTTAAGAACTCAAAGGACCCCAAATGAGGCTCAGATGAATGAATACTCATCATTTACGGCAAGGTAAGTCAAAATTATTAAATTGTGACAATTGATGCAAACTGAAATTTTGTTCAAAATTTGCGGCTAAGCTAAAAATAACAAAGGAATTTTACTTTGTTCTTTAGATTTTGGCGTAAATAAAATAAAATTATAAACGCTGTTTCCAAATACGGTTATTTTATAAATGCGAAACATCTTAACGGTATTTGAATATTTTATCTTCCAATTGAGGATAAAATGGTATTTGTTCGGCAAACGTAGGGGTGAATTTGTATTAAAAATAATTGATTTTTTAATCATGTTTGGTTAAATTTATACACAGCAAAAACGAAAAATTTAATAAGGTGTGTTACAGTTGCAGAATAAAACTCCTATTATATTGATATCGGTGTGGAATTAAATTTCGCGATCGTGCTTGTATGGATTTTGATGGAATGCAAAATCAGGGCGCTCTATTTTAATGTTTGATACAACAAACTTTATTAGAATACACGAGTGTTCCGCGTTCATATTTTGTTGCGTGAGAATTTTGTAAACGAGGAAGAATGTTGCGGTTGTCGAAGTTGTTTACTCTTTAGATGACGAAAATCTGCGAAACGTGGCAACGCGCTGAAGTTTTCATCCGATGCAACTGTCGCAGAAAACTCCTTCGGTGGCATAGGAAAGCTGCAAGTTACTTCATGTAGTGAAATACTTTACTTGACGTATTTAAAATAAGACAGAGAGAATGACTTCATCGTCAAAAACCACAGTATGTACTATATCGTACACAAAATGCGGATTAATGTTAGTCTTTGTATTAATGCCTCATAAATTTTTTTATTTAGGATTATCTTTTAACACGTCCTACGCAGGATGTATTCTGCACGATCTGTGCCTGTTGTATCCCCTTAAAATTTTAATAACGCAGGTTTGCCTAATACTGTATACAGCCGCAACACGGAAAATGATAACAGTGGACCTTTATCTGTCACCGTAACCACCTATCATTAAAATTTCACTGCGTTTTGTTTCAGTTAAATGGACGGTTGTTTTTAATAAAATAACGGCTAAATAATGGGTTTCTGGAAACGGTACACAAAAAATATTCAGTTGAGTTTTTCATTAACATTTCACATTAATTATATAAATGACATATTTGCAACGGGAATTGTCAGGGAATTAATTTGCAGTGGAGAAACACAAAGGATTTTTGGTTTAAAATTTTCAAACGCGAGCAAATATTAATGATATGTTAATAACGAAAATATTTATTTTTTGTAGATTTTTTTGCCATACCTATTAACATGCATCATATGAATAAAATATTAGATAAATAAGTTTGAAGTTTCTTTTATATTAAAGCTGAAATAAACCGTAAAGATAAAAATTCAACGATTTAACTTTTTAAATTTACAGTGTTATAATATGATTAATTAAAACAATAACAATAGTGTCCTAATTACAATTTTTAAAATTACCAATGTTTAAATGTTTAAATGTTGAAAGGCAAAATATGCCCTAAACAATTTTGTTAATTAAAATGGTGGATGCGCCGGGCATAAAGTTTTATTGTTTCTTAAGCAATTATTTCTATTAGCCAAAAGTAAGTATTTGTTTAATAAATTAATAAATATGTCACTTTTGTTGCAGGATCAATTTGACTAAATATGTAGTTTGTTTTAAAATATTTAGTAAGGCGACAAAATTATTTATTTTAATGTATTTCAGTTTTTCTAATTGTGTACTAATACCATTCAAATACCAAAAAGTGTATTTAACCTAACTCGTATATCTTGATTAGGCAGATAATGAGGATTAAGACTTCTCATGTTGCTCTTGTTAACCCCTTACTGGGTGATGAGCAAATCCAGAGTTATTTCTTGTGATAACGTACCGGATCTTCGAAATTTGGATGAAAAATGCAAATGTGCAAAACTGAAAAATTATAATTCCATTCACGCCCATTCGCTGCCACTACAATTGAAATTA